AAACTAACCGGCATCGGGTTTCATGCAGTTCCTTCGTGGCTTCACTGATACCCTCATTGACACCATTATAAAGCAAACTTTTATGTTTCTCCAACAACTCCAGCTCCTTCTTACTCTTTTCTTCTTCTTCGACAACTTCCTGCAATACGTATATGGATTAATACTTCAGAACTAAATCATATGTTTATGACACAGGTAGACTATTGCAAGAGAGCATTATAAGTTTAATATAGTGACATTGCTCCAGTTCTATATTGTTAGAAGTGTATATGTCTTTTAGATCATTAATTTTTATTATAGCTAAAATACTTTTGAAAATACTTTACCCAACTAGTTTTTATGAAGCAGAAAAGATTAGAACTCCAGTTCTCCCAGTTCTAGTTAAGCACCTTACTCAACACACCACTATGTTTCTTTACGTTATGTGTACATTTCTTAACAGAAAAAAACCCTCTTAATAATGAATTCTATAGAGATGAACTAACAAGCTCTTATATATCATATTTAGTACAATACCTTTGCTTTTTACTGACATAAATCTTCCAGTTTTTGTGTTTCTTCTCTTAACATTTTCATAATGCTGTTTTGTTCAGCTTCCATTGTATTTACCTTAAAGAATATTATTTAATAAGGGATGTTAGTACTGAAAGTCAAGGGTGCCTCCAGTTCACATCCTTTGCTTTCAAGTTTACATTTTTTGGCGAAAAGTACACTCTTAATAATTAAAAGAATTCTGAATCCAGCTGACACTTTCACATTTGAAAATATTTTAGTTTACATACGGAAGAGTTTGAAGATCTATAGGAATATCTACTGAACATCTAGAAATTCAGATTGCATTGTCCACATTTTTTTTCATTATTGTTTTCCTTTCCTAGCAACCCTATACTTGTTTTGAGCACTGAATTATGATTAGGAATAAGAGAAGGATAAACAAGGATTAATATACAGTAGGTTGCATTACATTATACAGTATAGCTGGTTTTCCACTAGACCAGAGATAGTTAGGAACTTACCTGTTCTAAGGTATCTTCTAAGTCAATTTTTCTCTTTGTTGCATTTGCAATCTCTTCTTCTGTCTTGTTTATTTGATTCAGAAGGGGAGCCTGCCACAATTAGACAAACACAATAAAGAAAAAAGTACAAAGTTTTCCAGTAAAGTTATCCAGTTACAGGGTTTAAGAAAAATACTTTAAATAAATGGCATATGCAGATAATATAGAAAAGATCTTCCTATAAACCGATAAGGCAATATTCTTTCCCAAGTACTGTTACATGAGTTCATACTCCAGGGAGTGGTTTTGTATTATAAAGCACAGAAATTGCCATGCTGGATCAGACCAATGGTCTATCAATCAAACATTCTGTTTCTCATAGTAGCCAATCAGATGCCAATAGGAAGTTGATTAACAAAACAAGATAGCAGAAGCCCTTTCAACCGTTCTAAGGGAGCATCCGTAAACTAATGTGCAAATATTTTAAGCCTTTATTAACATATTTCAGTCTATACATAGTACTTAAACCAATTTTTCTGCATAATAAATAAGATATTAATTTCCCCTGACACTCATTGTGATAGGAGAAATGAACTTCAC